TCTGTTGACGAACAGCCGCCTTCATTTTTTTTTTTAAAAGGACAGGTTTCCGTTCAAACGTCACCTTTGCACCCAGACAAGTGCAAACAGCTCTCAGCTTTCTCCTCGCTTCCGGAAAGCTGCCACAAACAACCGCAGAGTCTGTGATTGCCTTCGCCATGGAGGTTTTCAGCTGGCTGCTGGTGCTATCCATCATCCTCTACTATTTCTGGAAGCGTGGACGTCCCAAAGAATTACCTCCAGGACCACGACCTCTCCCGTTCTTTGGCAATGTGTTTCAACTGGGTTTTCGAAATCCCTTGACGTACTTGCAAAAGGTAAGGGGCTATTGCTATCCTACCACCAGGTCAAGATGAAACAAGAAGGGGACTGCCATAGCTTAATCAGCTGAATGTGGGGGACCTAACAATTAGAATAATGCTCGTGTTGACTTGGTTCTTTTGCGGAAGGTTGAAATATTTCCTCTTGGGATAGAGAGCATTGTGTTCAGCATGTTCTATGAGTGGTGTGCTACTTCTTGTACCTAATGAAATGTCACTCACTATTTCCTTTCAGTTAACTAAACAATATGGACCTGTCTTCAGTTTGTATGCTGGGAGAAAACCTATAATTTTTATTCAAGATTGGAGACTCGCAAAAGAAGTTCTGTTGACTAAAGGAATCGAATTTGCTGGGAGGCAAAACAATCCAATTATTGATCTTATCCAGAAGAAAAAAGGTACAGTATCTGAAGATAAGTTCAATATGTTGAAATTAGAATTGAAATATAAAAAGGACAATATTATGGGCTTTTCTGAGGGGAAAGTCCTGGTAGAGGAATTATGCATTTACCCTAATGAGAAAATAATTTTTTAAAAAAGTATACGTACCTATTACAATATGACTTAGAGGATGAGAGGATGAAGAAGGCGATGGTAAAATGGGCACAAAGCTTTGAGTACAATATTGATATTGACGAATGGAGAAAGATGTGGAAAGAGAATCATAAAATGATTAAGCCAGTGAATCTTAGAGAAAATATCCTCAAAATGTTTCATACATGGTGCTTTACCCCTGTAAGATTGGCAAAAATGTCAGAAGGGATCAGTAATGATTGCTGGAAATGTTAAAATAAATCCAGGGACTAACTATTATATGTGGTGGTCATGTGAAAGGGCAAAAAAAAAATTGGATATAGGTTTAGGAAATGGCAAAAGAGATTGTTCAACAAAAATTAAGTTTTAAAGCTGAAATGTTATTATTTAACATAATGCCAGAAATTACCAACAAGAAAATAAATTATAGTCTATATAGTCACAGCAGTTGGTTACTCCGGGCCCAAAAAATGGGAGAATGTAGAGACACCAATGATGGATGAGTTATTAAATAAGCTATTGGATATTGCACAACTAGACATGCTTTCAGAGGCACTATGGGATCAAGCAAGAGACTTTGTAAAGCAAAGATGAAAGTTGATATTATAATTGGGCCCAGAAAAAACCAGGAACTTAGGGGAAAAATTAGTACATAATGAACCAGTGCTCACCGGACACGAGTGCCCATTGGAATCATGGTGCCTGGACTTACGAACGCCCCTACTTATGAACATTTTGACTTATGAACAGGTCCGGTCGCAAAATTTTGCTTCGAGTTGCGAACGGAGCTTCAAATTACGAACAGGAAAAAAAAACAAAAATTGTTTTTGTGAAGGTTTGTGCTATCTGGTGGACTCTAAAATGGAGTTTAGCCTCAGGTCTCCCCCCTATTGTCTTCTCCCTCTCTGTCCTCTCTCTTTTTGTTTTTAAAAGCACAAACTGAAGGGTCTGTATGCCCCAGTGATGACCTTCTTTCTTTCCTCTTTTCCCCATTGTTCATTCCATCCCTCCTTTCCTGCCCTTTTTTCAACCTAAGTCATCTTAGGTTTAAAAAAGAAAGATTCTTCTCCTAGCGGCAGAGGACGGATTAACCGGTTTTGCATTCATTCCTATGGGAACTACTGCTTCGACTTACAAACGGCGCCTCTAAATAGGAACAAAAAACAGCCAGAATGAAATAATTGGGTTTCAGTGCATTCCTATGGGAAATGCAGATTTGAGTCACAAACATTTTGACTTACAAACATCTTCTGGGAAGGATTATGTTTGTAAGTTGAGGCACCACTGTATTTTGATGATCGGATGACAGTGAAATCTCTGATCCACAGGGAAAGGAAGGATGTTTAGTTTGTGGGTGGGGTTTTTTTTTTTTTGTTAATTATTTGTTAGATTTTTAATTTTTTTTAAAGTTTGTATGGTTAGATATGAATAAAATGTTTTTTTTTTTAAAAAAAAGAATTTTAAAAAAAGGTATCTGAAGATAAGTTCTCCTGTATTTTTCCTTCATGGCTCAATGCACGGGCATGATGTATTGATCAGGTTATTCAATGAGAAATCTTCCTTCCAGGATAGTGGGTGAGAGAGAGCAGGAAATGCACAAGAAGAGGGGGACTAACCCTACACAGAGCTGTGTGTTATGCAAGGCAACCGGTTTTGCCCTTTTCTAGAAGGGCACCCAAATGTCAAAGGTGCAAAGGTTCATTGCTGGAAGGGCGTAATCTCATCCATTCTTGTTTCCCTTGTTCTCCTGAAGGAATAATCATGGCGCCCTATGGCCAGGCCTGGAAGGAACAGCGGAGGTTTTCTCTGATGGTTCTCCGGAATTTTGGGCTGGGCAAGAAGTCGATGGAGGAGAGAATCCTGGCGGAAGCGGCGCATTTGATTCAAGCATTTACGGAAAACATGAGTAAGGTTTGGCGGGGAGAAGATAGGCTGGATACTCTCTTCATGACTCTTTCAAGTTGAATGCATTGGGATTTAAGCCAACCCTCTGCTTGTCCTGGGAGGTGGGAGCACCCAAAGGGGCCGGGCCAGGACCTTGTTCAGTTTGTAAGGAGAGAGAGAGAGAGGGAGAGAGAAAGAGGAGAATTACTGGATGTTAGCAAACACAACAATAATCTGGGTTGAAGGAGATCTCACCTAAACTTATTGTCAATGCTAGAAAGTAAAGGGAGGGGTGGGTGCGTTCCATGTCTCAAGTCAAGTCCAAGTCATTTTTTTGGGGGGGAGGACACCTTGAATTGAGTACAAGCTGACCCTCCCGTGTGAGTTAAGTGCAACGGGATTGCAAGTGTCATGACTCAAGTCCCCATCTCTGCCTCCCACCTCTCCTTCGTTCTCATGCCCTCCCCCTTCTCCATCTTCTCTCTTTCCCTCCCACCGATGTCATCGCTACTGATGTCAAGGGAATCTCAGCTCTGCTCACCCCATAAGAACCCATCTTGTAAAGAGTAAAAAAAAAAGTTGGTGCTGCCATATCTGGAACAAACGCAACTCCATAAAGTAAATAAATAAAAGACTAAGTCCAGTCCTCACATGAATGGGAATAATAGAGAAGTAGAAGGGAAGTGGAAGGGTTCAATTAAATTCTGCAGTAATGTCACAAA